CAATTGAAATCGGGTTTAGAATACCCTTCTAATATATTTGCAGATCATTTCCATATCGCGTATAATCCTAGACTGTATTATGCAATGCAGAGCCAAAAAAATATGCATCCGCACATCTCTACACATAATAATAACTGACCGTAACCGCTGAACCTATTTTTAACCTGGTTATAAATAATTAAAAATAAGTAAAATTAATCGATTAATTTATTGTTAATGTTCAAGAACATCCGATCTATAATACCCTATTCAAACACGTAAATTTAGTATTTGAGTTGTTTTATACTGCACGATATATATTGATTTCTAATCTACGAATAACATGCCAATTAATAATTGACAAAAAATTACCAAATTACGCGTAATAGTATCACTCGTTATTATTTTGTAAATTTATTTCAAAAGTGGTAGATCTGCATATTAAAATATACCTAGTTATAAAAAAAAACTGATATAAACTGCAATAAATTTAATTTTCAATTAGCAATTATTTGTTGTAAGAACATACTCTAACTATTATAATAAAATATAAATATGTCCATGCATACATAATATTCGGTTTATTATACAAATTTAACCATTATCAAAATTATATTTTACACTAGATGCCTAACAATAATAATGATGTATATAATAATTTAGAATAATTTGACTTAATATAAAATAGTATATAGTACAATAAATCAATAAAATAAATCATGAATAAATTATCATTTAATATTTCAAATTATCAAGCTAACGAAGCTAAGTGTTGAATTTTATACTAAGCTATATTACATTGCATTTTTTAAAAACATTCTCTCTGAATTCATACCTATAAATGCAAGCTAAAGCTCTGTTAAATCTTCTGTTTAACCTTTAAATTTGTAAAAGAAAATGACTTTGAAAAAAAACACTATAATTCTATTAGCTGTAAATAATGTAAAAATTCACCAATTTAATTTAGTTATAATTACTCCCATAAATGAAACCTTAAGTGTACGCTTGTAGCTAGTCCCAAAATGCTGTATTTCAGGAAGGTTGTCCGTATACGTTATCTCCCCAATCAATCCACGTTAATACCTCGAATTAATTGAAAGAGAACTCGAGTGCGAAGTCAAGTGTAAAACCAAGAATACGACACCAAAAGTGAATTAGCTATTATTAGTTTCGAAGATATTAATGAATTTTTTATATATAATTTCAATGCTGAAGTCAACGACATTTTTTATAGGTGATGCTAGGTCGTTACCTCAGAATGCAATTTTTAAAATAATTAGTGTTATTTGTATTTTCGTCATTATTTTCACTTGATTCAACAATAACCATGTCTTCACTCTCGTCTTCATTCATAACTTCCTCTTTATCTTCATTCATAACTTCTTTATCTTCATTCATAACCTCGTTCATAACCTCATCTTTGTTTATGACTTCATTTTTATCTTCATTCATATCATCTTTATCTTCATTCATATCATCTTTATCTTCATTCATATCATCATTTTTATCTTCATTCATAACCTCATCTTTATCTTCATTCATATCTTCATTTTTATTTTGGTTCATAGATTCATTTTTATTTTGGTTCATAGATTCATTTTTATTTTGGTTCATAGATTCATTTTTGTCTTCGTTCATTACTTCATTTTTGTCTTCGTTCATTACTTCATTTTTGTCTTCGTTCATTACTTCATTTTTGTCTTCGTTCATTACTTCATTTTTGTCTTCGTTTATGACTTCACTTTTATCTTTATTCATAACCTCATCTTTATCTTCATTCATGACTTCGCTTTTATCGTTGTTTATAGATTCACTCTTATTTTCATTCATGACTTCGCTTTTATCGTTGTTCATAGATTCACTCTTATTTTCATTCATAACTTCATTTTGGTCTTTGTTTATGACTTCACTTTTATCTTCATTCATAACATCATCTTTGTTTTCATTCATAACTTCATTTTTATCTTTGTTCGTAGCTTCATTCTTATCCTTATTCATAACCTCGTTCTTGACTTCATTCACAACTTTGTCATTCATAACCTCGTTCTTGACTTCATTCACTACTTTGTCATTCATAACCTCGTTCTTGACTTCATTCACAACTTTGTCATTCATAACTTCATTCATTACTTTATTCTTATCTACATCTACAACTTCGACCTTAACATCATTCTTAGCATCATCTTTAGCATCATTCTTAGCAGCAGTCAATTGTCTTAATAAATTAGCTGCTTTTTCATAACCATTATCTGCGGATAGTTTTAAATACTTCATTCCAAGATCCTTATTTGATTGTACTCTAAGTTTTCCGTTATTATAAATATCCGCCAAGTAATACATTGCATTTGCATTTTTATTATTAGCAGCTAATTTAAAATAATGTAAAATTTCAATTCTGTTCTCTTCTTTTTTAGGTTCAGGATCTTCTTTTTTAAGATCCGAAAGTAATGCAACTGCATACCGACATTGTGCATCAGAGTGATCATTATCAGCAGCTTCTTTAAAAAGTTTTTTTGCTTTTTCTTTATTTATTTCGATAACATCATATCCATAAGTTAAATAATATCCTAACCAATATTTCGCAATTGGATCACCAAGTCTAGCATTTTCTTCGAAACATTTTAAAGCTGCTTTGTGATCTCTACTTTTATGAAGTTCAATTCCTTTTTCAAGTGATATTAAAAAATCAACCGATGGACTATCCACTTCCATCGATTTTTCAACTTTTGATGCTTTATCTTGCAAATGAATTGTCGATATTTCAGGTGCTGGAAAGTTTGCAACTAATTTTTCAAGTATTAAATGTAAGCTCGTAATAGATATTCGTTGATGTGGTTTATGATGCCATACTATTTGTCAATTAAACAGAATAAGGTCAGTATAAAAAATAAATAAATAAACTAAACTTTATTATTTAAAATAAACTTACTTTGGTTAATAATTTTAATAAATTCTTGTTGAATTTCTTTATCAATAGGATTATTAAAACTTTTAAATGAAAGCTTTTCTCGTTTGCCACTTAAAACATGATTAGATATTTCTTTAACCTCCAAACTTTCATAAGGAAACTTTTCATAACAAAGTTCCCATATTAGCATACCAAAACTAATTTCAAAAAAATAGTTAACAAGTTATTAACAAATTATTAACAAGTGAGTAAACGTAAATTGAGAAAAATTAAGCAATAAATACCTAAACATTTCACAACTAAATGTATATGCATTTTCATCACGTCTATATTTTTCATATCTCTCAAGCTGTTCAGGAGCCATCCAACGAATTATGTCTGTTACTAAACCTGAAAGATTCCTAACTTTCACATTCAAATTTACTTCACGAGTACACCTGAAATTTCCAAGTTTTGGAATCAAATCATTCGATATCTATTATTTTAATACGTTAATAAATTGATAAAATTTTAATTATATTAAATTTCAGTTAATTTTATTTAAATATATTTACAAAAATATTTCCGCATCTAAGGTCATGATGAAAGATATTTAGTCTACGTAAGAATATAATACCACGACAGATATCTCGAACAATTTGCATTTTCCTAGGCCAAGGAATAACGTAAGTGTTATAAAGCTCCTTTAGAGTTCCATTATAAGCCCATTCAATTACTATGACTTTAATATTATCAACGCTTGAAAGACCATAAAAACGAAGAATATATCGTGATTGTAATTTTTCAAGAATTGATAATTCAGTTTCTTGATTTTTATAATCACCA